GTTCAAAAGTGGCTTGACCTGGGGAATGCGGCACCTGTAGCCCATTTCCTGCACTCGCCTGTGCACGGTGGCTCTGGATGTTTCTACTCCAGACTCAGTCCACTGCTTCCGCAGGTCCCCCAAGGTCTGGAATCGGCCCTTCTCCACAATCCTCCTCAGGGTCCGGTCACCTCTTCTCGTTGTGCAGCGTTTTCTGCCACACTTTTCCCTTCCCACAGACTTCCCACTGAGGTGCCTTGATACAGCACTCTGGGAACAGCCTATTCGTTCAGCAATTTCTTTCTGTGTCTTACCCTCTTGCTTGAGGGTGTCAATGATGGCCTTCTGGACAGCAGTCAGGTCAGCAGTCTTACCCATGATTGTGGTTTTGAGTAATGAACAAGGCTTGGAGTTTTTAAAAGCCTCAGGAATCTTTTGCAGGTGTTTAGAGTTACGTCGTTGATTCAGATGGTTAGGTTAATAGCTTGTTTAGAGAACCTTTTCATGATATGCTCATTTTTTGGGACAGGCATTTTGGGTTTTCATGAGCTGTATGCCATACTCATCAGTATTAAAACAATTAAAGACCTGAAATATTTCAGTTGGTGTGCAATGAATCTGAAATATATGAAAGTTTCATTTTTATCATTACATTATGGAAAATAATGACCTTTATCACAATATGCTAATTTTTTGAGAAGGACCTGTATATGTATATATATATTTTTTTTTATTTATTTATCTATTTATTTATATATTTATTCAACTTATTATGCTCCCAACATGCTTGGACAGATGGACAGTATTTCCAGTTTTCCCTCTTCACTTAATAATGGGGAACAAAAATTAGACGCAGTTCATTTCTTTGTAAGTGAACAAACCTATAAAATCATCAGGAATTATGTCCTCGACTGTTTTATCCACCTTAATATTTAGTTGAAACTCAGTTCACAATCGAGGGTTGCAATTATATTGTTGACAGGTAGTGTGGAAGTGTGCAGCGTCCAGAAATGACAGCATGGCTGCAGGTTTTCTGAACTGTGTTGCAGGGGAGCCAAGGGGACATTCTCTCCGCCCTTACATTCTCTTCTGGAGATTTTGAGACGTTTATAATTGTCTTGCACAGTAGCATCAACTTCTAAATTGTACCATCACAATTGCTGTCTGAAAACAAGTCTAATTCTGCATTATTGATGAATCAGCACAAAGTATGTTGTAATTGTGGCTGCCCAAGGACAGGCAGTCTAAAACATCTGTCAGATAAAACCTTTAACGTTTCCTCTCCTCGTTGCTCAAATAAACGTATTTAGTTTCCAGCTTTGTGTCAGAAGCAGTTGAGCACCTTTCTCTATGTTATTGAGTTTTATTAATCATTACTGATATGCACTTATTGTTTTAAAAGAAACTGCTTTAAGATAACTTCTTAAACTTATTTACTTATTTGTTGGTTTATAATTATGGCTTCACCTTGCACTCTGACATCTACTAATCGCAGAAAGCTAAGCCTGGTTGTTTAAAGTAATCCAAATGATAAAACCACGGCAGGTTTCAGTCAGACCTCCTGAGAAAACATGGCTGTTATTTTCCATCGAAGCAGTGCAGAGGTTTATTAGGTATCCTAAAAGAGCAACGCCTTCAACCCATGAACAAAACAAGGTGTGGGATTTCTGTCTTTTTATCTGCTTAGACAGCAAATTATAGCAAAACAGCTTTAAACCGTTAGACAAAAGTAGGCAGAAGGTAAAACGCTTGAGGAAAAATAAATACGTAGGCGGTATTTAGGTTCTAAAATTAATTAAATATAACCTCAAATGGATAAAAATACACAACAGATGCTACCAAAATATTTTTTTTTTACATTTATTAAAACAAAATTAAGCCAAATGGAAAAGTTAAGAAGGGTTCAAGGTTACTCCCAAATTATTGGAGTGCATCAATTTATGGAGAGAACACAATTTCATCCATCCATCCATCCATCCATCCATCCATCCATACATACATACATACATCCATCCATCATTTTTACCTGCTTCTTTCTTTTCAGGTTGTGGGGGTCACTGGTGTCCATGTCCAGCCATCACTGTGAGAGGTAGGGGACACCCTGGACAGGTCTCCAGTCCATCACAGGGACACATCGAGACAAACAACCATTCACTCTCTCACTCACACCTAGGGACAATTTAGGGTTACCAGTTAGCCTAACATGCATGTTTTTGATCTGTGGGAGACATGCATGCATTGGAGAGAACATGCAAACTCCACCCACAAAGGCCCCTGGTTGGGATTTGAACCGGGGCAACCTGCTCTCTAGATGGCAGCTCTAACAACTGCGCCACCGTGCTGCCCACACAATTTCATAATGAGAAAATTATTCAAGACAGCTGCTAATCTCCCCAGAGTTGACATTCCAGCAAATTCACCCAAGAGCAGACTGTGCAATTCTCTGAATATTGATAAAAAAACACAAGAGCTCCATCAGACTCCACAGGCTTTAGTTAGCTGGTTAAATGCTAAAGTTAATAACAGTTTATTTAGGAAGAGACTGAACAAGAATGATCCATAAAACCTCTGAAACAATGTTCTTGGAACAGATGACACCAACGTAACGATGGTCTGCCATAATGAACAGAGCCGTGTCTGACTAAATATCAAATATATCAGCACATCTCTGACAAATACCAACCATCAAACATGGTGGTGGAGGGGTAATGGTTTGGGCTTGTTTTACAACCACCAGACCCAGGCCCCTGCAGTCCTCTGTAGACCAAAGGACTGTAGAGTCAAATACAACGTGTCAGACAAAAATTGGGTCAAGACGCAGCGGGACAATAATCCCAAACACAGCAGCTAATCTCCATCAGAACAGATGAAAATGGAAAATAATCCCATTTGTTACACTGGTCACGTTCAAGTCTAGACCAGGGTTCTGCAACCTTTTTGATCAAGAGAGACATTACGGCCCCTTCGCTCACTAAATGAAACATGTGCAGAGCTGCAAAACCTGCTACAACTGTGATAATCAACTGATGGCCCATGGGCCACTTCGAGTTTGTTAGAGGGGGGCACTTCTGGTCAGTGGGGGTCACATTATAAAACTAAAAATATTTAATGAATAGTAACATTTATTTAGATTTTTAGATTTTAGGACAAAAAAGATCATAGTAGGAAAAAAATACAGTTCATACTGATTTTAAAAAAAACATTAAAACTCCAAACTCTGCCGACCTTTTCTGTGGTGAAAAATAATCACGTTTCCTACTTTGAAATAACAAAACAAAAAAATTGTAGTATCATTCAAATATTTGCAGAAAATAAAAATAAACAAATAAAAAAAAACTGCCAAAAACTTTTCTTTTGTAGATATAAAAACCAATAAAATTAAATTTCATGTACGTTTTGGTCAAAGCTTCAAAGAGCCGCAGACGAGGGACTAAAGAGCCACATGTGGCCCCAGAGCCGCAGGTTGCAGAGCGCTGGTCTAGACCTTAAACCAATTAAATGCTGTGGTGAGACTGGGGGAGAGCTGAAACCAGCATAAACAAATATCTGCAAATTTAAGTTAATTGAAGCAATGTTATAAAAAAGAGTGGAGCAAAATTAATTCACAACAATATGAGACCGATATATTCACATAGAATATGACTATTTTAACTTAATGCTGATAAGAGTTTCTATAAACCATTCAATGGTGGAGTTCTCATGCTTTTAAAAAAAGTTTTATGAATATTGGCACAATGGAGCTTGTTGTGTGGTTTTGTACACCTGGTCCTATCTTTATTATACATTGTTAATATGTTCTTTTACTGAATGGTTATGAATTTGGCATTCGTTATTAAACAAAGGTCTTCAAATTGTTCAGAGCTAAATCTGAAATCACAAACTGTCAGAATCTTCATCAGATTTACAGTAAAAACAAACATTTGTACAAATTTAGTGTCAGTTTGTCCTTTATCAGTGTTTTACACACAGGATTTAACATAAACAGTAAAACAGAGTAAGATGACATTATAACTTGTTTGGTGTTTGCTGAGGTGTACTCATTACCGTCTGTGAGTTTTATTACGATCCATGTCATGTTAAGTTTACCAAAGTGAACGCACAACTTCACGTCGTCAACGAACCCCTGGTGAGCAAAAGTATTTTTGATTTTAATTAACATGCATTCAACAGGTGTCATGAGTAAAACACGTGACTCTGGAACTTCCTCTGGCACTGAATCCCATGTTATGTTAGGAACCGGTCTGGTTGTGGACCCGTCTCGGGGCCTTTGTGAAATCCTCTCCGTGTGTTTGGTTTGAGCCGGAGGAAAATGATTCCCTCTGAGACCGGGAGGGGCTGCATGTCCATCAGGTCACACACAGGAAGAGGGGACGAAGAACTGCTCTCAGTCCATTTCTTCTGCCCATGTGGTCAGTTCAGGGAGGCAGGTACAGGAGGTGAACCCCTCCCTCTTCTCCAGTGATACTTCAGCTCCTTCTGGGGAACCCCAAGGTGGTCCCAGACCAGAGAAAAACCTCCAGTTAGGCACCCAGGCAGCATCCTAATCAGATGTCTGAACCACCTCGACTGACTTCTTTTCATATAGAGGAGCAGCAGTTCTTCTCAACCCCCCCCCCCCAGGTGATGGACCCTCACCTTATTTCTAAGGCTGAAGCTGGGCCCTCTACAGCCTCTTGTATCCAAGATTACATCATGATCCATATCTCAACTAGATGATGGATGGAACATAGACATACTAGAAAAGACTGACATCTTTCAGCTCAGCTAATTCACTACTAAGTACCAGAGCAACGCCCTTATTACCACAGACTGAGCCTGCTTTATCCTTCCATCTCTCGTGAACAAGACTCCCAGACGCTTGAACTCCTCTGCTCGATGCAGAGACTTTGTGCATATTTGTCATATTCAGCTTTTGCACGAACAAATGTTCTGTTGTGATCGATGGGTGTTTAACTAACTAACTAACTAACTAACTAACTAACTAACTAACTAACTAACTAACTAACTAGTCTTTTCTTGTCTGCATACAGAAAACATGTAGCAGGTGAAGGCGGAGAGCAGCAGGACTCACCTCTGAGCCAGCGCAGGAGGTAGTGGTCATGCTGAGCAGGCAGGCTGGGCAGGATGTCCCGGATCCTCTCGCGAAACTTGAGGCCCAAAGCAGAAATAAAACTAAAATTTCAAGTTCTTTATCGAGAAATACGAGCTGCTAGTTAAAATGTAAGACTTGTCCAGCATCTCCTAACAGTTAACTGTAACATTTTGAAGGGTGCCAGCGCAGCTCCTGTCCAAAATTCAAACACAACTTTGTACCAATCTAAACTAAAAAACATAAATAAATCTACATTTTACTGTACAACTGTATAAACCGTGTAAGGAGATGTTAATAAGTGGCAGGCAGAAATGCAGAGTGAAAATTAGGCCTCCAACAAAGTTGTGCAAAAACTTGGAGTTGCATCAAACTTCTTGAAGCGTCAGCAGCAGAACACTGTGATGAACAAACATGTGATCCGTCGTGTTTTTACTGTTATAGCTCTGCTACTTTAGAAGAAAACATCTGGAGCTAAATTAGAAGCTTACGTTGTTTGGGCGTGAATGTGGTGCATTCTGGGGGGATTTAAGAGAAAACTGGGAGCAGTTGGGGAGACAGAGTGAACGAAGAAATATATTTTGATGTAAATTTGAAAATGTACCAAAAAAGGTTGTGGAAATCAGAAGAGTTAAAAAAAACAAGTGTGAAAATTTCAGACAATTCAACTGGAGTGGACATCAACTGTTAACTATTCTGAGAGAAAAATCAGTAAAAATCATAAACAGCTGTGTAAAATATTGTTAAAGATATGAAAATGTCAGCTCAGACGTCTAAAGTCCAGCTTTCTGTCCAAAACTGAACGTTTCTGAGCTAAGGAGCTCCAGAGCTGGTTTTCTTACACGTTTCACCAAAATCCCATTGATCACTTTTACGGTTCAGCATTTTGTTAGTTTTGTCCACACCATGTGACGAATCGCTACGGAAAGTCACAGCACACTACTCCTGATGGAGCCACATGTTTTCCATGCATGTTTCTAAATTTTAAATTTCACAAGTGTGCTTTTTCATTTGAATCTCCAGTTCACACAACATGAAACCTTCTGCTTCTTTATTGTCAAAATAAACTAAAAGCTTTGAGGTTAGCCCTACGGTCACTCTAACTAAAAAACTATTTAAATCAGACTTTTTTTGAGTTTGAAAATAGAATATGCTCAAGTGGAAACATAAATCCCACCACTGCATGGCAGATGAAATGTCACCCAGACCAGGTAAGTTTGGTGCTTTTAATTTGGCTTTATATTTGCCCAAATTAATCACTTTGTCTACTTTGTTCTTTGAAGTGAAAACAAAACCGTGTCGAGATGGAAACCACGTTAACAGATGAGAGAATCTATGGAGTACTTAGTGCAACAACTTTTATAAACTTTAATTTAGTACAGCACAAAGCTTTTATTTTGGAATAACTTTGATTTAGGTTCTTTTTTTTTTTTCTCCTGATAATAAAAAAACACATCACTTAAAAAAATAAAAGACACTTTCTGTAGTGGCAGTAAAGCAGAAGTGTCTCCAGGGAAGTTTTGTGGCTGAAATCTACACCCTGGCTCCACAAAGACACAGAAACGAGAACGTATTGATTGATGTCTCACCTCCGTCAGGACTTCAGCCTGCTTCGGGCTCAGGTCCCCGACCCGTCCGCTCATGTCTCAGCTGCTCAGTCGCTCCAACAGGGGCAGCGTGTGGGAATGAAGAAGGCAGGAGGGAAATCCAGGTAGACGGGTATAAAAACACCACGCCTCCCTCACACACACTTTCTCTTACACACACACATACACACAAGGTGGACTTTCACCCTGCTGCAACTTCTGATCTAAGAAAACCTTAAAAGAACAGGAGCAGACCAGAATAGTGGACGCAGACGACTCGCACATATTTTTGAACTGCCCTAAATACAAACCGGATTCCAAAAAAGTTGGGACACTAAACAAATTGTGAATAAAAACTGAATGCAATGATGTGGAGGTGGCAAATGTCAATATTTTATTTGTAAATAACATAGATGACAGATCAAAAGTTTAATCTGAGTAAATGTAACATTTTAAAGGAAAAATATGTTGATTCAAAATGTCACAGTGTCAACAAATCCCAAAAAAGTTGGGACAAGTAGCAATAAGTGGCTGGAAAAAGGAAATTGAGCATATAACGAACAGCTGGGAGACCAATTAACACTAATTAGGTCAATTGACAACATGATTAGGTATAAAAAGAGCTTCTCAGAGTGTCAGTGTCTCTCAGAAGACAAGATGGTAAGAGGATCACCAATTCCACCATTGTTGCGCAGAAAGATAGTGCAGCAATACCAGAATGGTGTTACCCAGCGTAAAATAGCAAAGACTTTTAAGTTATCATCATCAACTGTGCATAACATCATCAAAAGATTCAGAGAATCTGGAAGCTGTGCGTAAGGGTCAAGGCCGTAAAACTCTACTGGATGCTCGTGATCTCCAGGCCCTTAAACGTCACTGCACCTCAAACAGGAATGCCACTGTCAAGGAAATAACAGAATGGGCTCAGGAATACTTCCAGAAAGCATTGTCAGTGAACACAATCCACTGTGCCATCCGCCGTTGCCAGCTGAAACTCTACAATGCAAAGAGGAAGCCATTTCTAAGAAAGCTCCACAAGCTCAGACGTTTGCACTGGGCCAGGGGTCATTTAAAATGGAGTGTGGCAAAATGGAAGACTGTTCTGTGGTCAGATGAGTCACGATTTGAAGTTCTTTATGGAACACTGGGACGCCATGTCATCCGGACCAGAGAGGACAAGGATAGCCCAAGTTGTTATCAATGCTCCGTTCAGAAGCCTGCATCACTGATGGTATGGGGTTGCATGAGCGCTTGTGGCCTGGGCAGCTTGCATGTCTGGAAAGGCACCATTAATGCAGAGAACTATGTTCAGGTTCTAGAACAACATATGCTCCCATCTAGACGTCATCTCTTTCAGGGAAGACCCTGCATTTTTCAACACGATAATGCCAGACCACATTCTGCAGCAATCACAACATCATGGATACGTAGGAGAAGGATCCGGGTACTGAAATGGCCAGCCTGCAGTCCAGATCTTTCACCTATAGAGAACATTTGGCACATCATAAAGAGGAAGGTGCGACAAAGAAGGCCCAAGACGATTGAACAGTTAGAGGCCTGTATTAGACATGAATGGGAGAGCGTTCCTATTTCTAAACTTGAGAAACTGGTCTCCTCTGTCCCCAGACGTCTGTTGAGTGTTGTAAGAAGAAGGGGGGATGCCGCACAGTGGTAAAAATGAACTTGTCCCAACTTTTTGGGGATTTGTTGACGCCATAAAATTTGGAAAAAACAGATTTTTCCCTTAAAATGATACATTCTCTCAGTTTAAACTTTTGATCTGTGATTTGTGTTCTATTCTGAATAAATATTAGATGTTGGCACCTCCACATCATTGCATTCAGTTTTTATTCACAATTTGTTTAGTGTCCCAACTTTTTTGGAATCTGGTTTGTACTTCCATTTTTGAAAACTGTGCATAAAACTGTAAAGAAAATACTGGGATATGAGCAGCACAGTACTATATACCTTTACAATTTTAACAATATCAATGAAAAGGTAAGAGTAAGGGATAGGTATCTGATCAAGATTAATAGCTAGCAAGAAAGCTATTACGAGGATATGGGGAAAGGTGGACCCCCCCTTGTCTTGAACAATGGATTGAGATAATAGAAGAAATCTACACAATGAAAAAATTGACGAGACGTGACCTCCAAATCTGAGGCCATGGTCCTCAACCAGAAATGGATGGATTGCCCTCTTCAGGTCGAGGGTGAGGTTCTGCCTCAAGTGGAGGAGTTCAAGTATCTCGGAGTGTTGTTCACCAATGAGGGAAGAATGGAGCGTGAGATTGACAGACGGATTGGTGCAGCGTATGCAGTATTGCGGACTCTGTACCGGTCCGTTGTGGTGAAGAGAGAGCTGAGCTGTAAGGCGAAGCTCTCCGTTTACCAGTCGGTCCACGCTCCTACCTGTGGAGAGAGATGTCTGGGCCTCCCTGCTCAAGCTGCTGCCCACACGACCTGACTTCTAAACAAGCAGAAGATGATGGATGGATAATGGAAATCTGACATATCAACTGAGACTACAGCAAACACAAATGGATTGGGAGAAATGGACACTATTCAAATCAAAGGCAGCAACAAAAAAATAAAGAACTCAACAAACTGGAAAAGACAAAAGGACCATTCGATTAGCTCCCAAGCTAAAGTTTTTCTGGTGTTGAATGTGAATTGTTCATGCACATGTTGTATGTAAACAAATGTGGAAAATGCCAATAAAAAGTTAAAATGATAAGAGAACAGGAGCAGAAACCACCTTTCATCACATTTATGATTCATACAATTAGATTTTCAATCTTTGTTTGAAGAATTCATGCAGAAGTTTTGTGTAAATCTCAACTAAACATTCTGACGTGCATCTAATCTGTCTTATCTCGTCCTTTCATACCAGTTCGATTAAAAACATTGAAGCATCTAAAATGAACTCTTTTATTATTGTTTCTATTCTCTTCAGTCAATCTGCACGTTTATTCACTTTTCTCTATTAAAGTATCGAAGTACGCCAATTTGGAGCGCTAAGTTTAT